ATTTCATTTCTATATTATATATTTTAAATAATAACATTTGGGGTTTTCCAGAAAGGAGCATTTTGCAGTAAGAACAACTCTAAGAAGAGAGTATCACATTGACGTCATAGGCCAACCTGCCTTCAGTTTTAATTAGACCGTTAATTTTTTTTTTTTTTTGGTACTTCAGACAGGGTCTTGCCCTGTTGCTGAGGCTGGAGTGCAGGGTGAGACCACAGTTCACTGCAGCCTTGAACCCTTGGGCTTAAGCAATCCTCCCACCTCAGCCTCCTGAGTAGCTGGGATCACCTGTGTGTGCTACCACACCTGGCTAATTTTCTCTTTCCTTCCCTCCCCTCCTGCCTGTCTCCCTGCCCTCTCCCGGGTCTCTCTCTCTCTCCCCCTTCCCCTCCCTCCCTCCTTCCCTCCTTCCCTCCCTCCCTTCCTTCCTTCCTTCCTTCCCTCCCTCCCTCCCTCCTTCCCTCCTTCCCTCCTTCCTTCATTCCTTCCTTTTTTTGGGGGGTCTCACTTTGTTGTCCAGGTGGTTCTCAAACTCCTGGCTCAAGTGATCTTTCCACTTCAGCCTCCCAAAGTGCTATGATTAAAGGGATGAGCCACTGGGCCTGACCTGATTTTCTTACTATGCACTTGAACTTGACTTTACACACCTGATGTTCACATGTTTGCTTATTGTGAATGTAAAATAAGTGGATGCCTATTCAATTAAGCAAACCTTTCCCGATTACTAGGTCAAGTTCTAGACAGGGGGGAATATAGCAGTGAAAGATTAAGTTGTTCTGTCTAATTTGCCCGTGATCTATAGAGAGACGTAAATACCCAGACCCAGGGATAAAGAAAGGTCAGGCTTAGAAGAGGAGGCAACATTGGGCCTGGGCTTTGCAGGATCCTCAGGGTCGCTAAATTTCCTTTCAGGTGCTTCCAGCAAGACAGAGAGAACATTTCTTGACCTAAACATTTTTAGATCAAGTTTGCAAAGTGGACAAGAAGTGGGAAGGCAATCTAGGCAAAAAACCCAGCATTTGCAAAGGCCTGGAGGCAGGCGCTTGGGGGAATGCAGAGTTCCGCTTGAGTACAGGGTTTAAGGAGGGACAGGGATGACTTCACCCTGGTGGGCTGATTCTTCACATTGCGAATGGATTGTCCCATTTGCAGAAAGATCCAGAGCCTAATGTCTTTCTCCAGTCAGTGTCAGCGTGCCGGCTGATTCCGTGGATTGAGCAGTGGAAGCGAGAAACTTAAAACCATCGGGAATGAGGATGTGCAGGGAGAGTGACTGTTGTGGGATACAGGTTTCTTTATGGGGTGATGAAAATATTCTGAAATCAGTGGTGATGATTGTTCAACCTTGTGACTATACTAAAACCAGTTTAGTATATACTTTAAACTGGTGACACCTGTGGCATGTGAATTATATCTCAATCCAAAAACAAGACATTTGGATGAAGCATTTCTGGGTTGACATGGCCAGGCTGTAGAAGAACAGAGCTGAACTTCCACTGATCGCGTGTCACCGAATTTCCATAGGCTGATGGCACTGAGTGGTCCCCCTCCCATCCAGCAGGACACTCACTCACCCTGGCAATCTGGCTGGTTGTGGGAGGCATGCCTAGAGCCTGCAGCCCATCCCAGCTCTGCAGGGAAGCCTGTGACCTGGGGCTCATCATTTGACTTCTCTGAGCTGCAAAGAGGCTCATCACGTCTCTAGGGGAAGAGTCAATCACCTCTCCCTGGCTCAGGCGCCGGCTGCTGAGAATAAAGACTACAGGAGTACAGAATTAGAGGTCAAAGCAGGCCGGGTGCCATGGCTCACGCCTGTAATCCCAACACTTTGGGAGACCGAGGCGGGTGGATCTCCTTGAGCTCGGGAGTTCAAGATCAGCCTGACCAACATGGAGAAACCCTGTCTATTAAAAATACAAAATTAGCTGGGCGTGGTGGCACATGTCTGTAACCCCAGCTACTTGGGAGGCTGAGGCAGGAGAATTGCTTGAACCCAGGAGGCAGAGGTTGCAGTGAGCCAAGATCATGCCATTGCCCTCCAGCCTGGGCCACAAGAGTGAAATCTGTCTCAAAAAAGAAAAAGGTCAAAGCAATAGTAATATCTAAAACAGCTACCTAAAAAAAAGATATTGATACAACACTGCTATGATGGAGCTATTATTATCTCCATTTTATAGATAGGGAAACTGAGGCATAGAAAGTTTAAGCAGCTTGCCTGAAGTCACAGTGCTAGGAAGAGAGACAGGATTCACAATTGGACCATGGCTTAGCCACTGGGTCACACTGCCTCTTGCTGTGGCAGTCTGACTTCAACCAGTGGGACAAGGGACATTGTTAAAAGGCTTGGACTTCAAGTGGCAGGGTCATTAGAGAGCAGCACCTGAGGAGAGGGAGTGGGGTAGGAGTTAAAATTGCACAGGCAGTGATGGGTCTGTGCTTGAGGTCAGTAACCCTGGAAGCGTTCCCAAAAGCCTCATTTAGAAGAACTGAGTACGTGTCAAAAATATTCTGTGGCACTTGGAATTTAAATGGTTGGTGCTGGGATGAAACTGGTTTGGGGACAGTTCACATCCCACTGATTTCCCTTTTTGTACATTGCGAAAATATCTGACATCTGTTTGACCTGCAACCACCCTGCAGCCTCAGCCATGCCCATTTTGGTGGTGGTCGTGTCTTCAACCTAATTTCTGCCACCCTCTGTGAATGACTTGGGTTCTCCAAGTCACCACACCCTTGCAAGCTTAATGCCTGTAGTGAGCTAAGTGGGGACCCTTAAAAGGTATGTCCCTATGGCCAGGCGAGGTGGCTCATGCCTGTAATCCCAGCACTTCAGGAGGCCCAGGCAAGCGGATCACCTGAGGTTGGGAGTTTGAGACCAGCCTGGCCAACATGGAGAAATCCCATCTCTATTAAAAACACAAAAAATTAGCAGGGAGTTGTGGCAGATGCTTGTAATCCCAGGTACTTGGGAGGCTGAGGCAGGATAATCGCTTAAATCTGGGAGGTGGAGGTTGCAGTGAGCCAAGATTACGCCACTGCACTCCAGCCTGGGTAACAAGAGCAAAACTCCATCTCAAATTAAAAAAAAAAAAAGAGAGTGAATATTATCTTACATGGCAAAGATAGGCTTAAGGATTTTGAGAGGGAGACCTCATCCTGGATTACCCAAGCAGGCCCTAAATCCTGTGATGAGTGTCCTCACGAGAGACACAGAGAAGAGGAGGTGGCGATGTGACTGGAGGAAGATGAGGCAGATTGCAGTGACGCGGCCACAGGTCAAAGAATGCCTGGAGCCACTGGAAGCTGGAAGGGCAGGCTCTCCCTTGCGGCTTGTAGTCATAGTGAGGCCCCGCTGGCACCTAGACTTGAGACTTCTGGTCTCCAAAGCTGGGAGAGAACATGTTTCTGTTGTTTTAAGCCAAATTTGTTCCGACAGTGGCAGCTCAGACACACTGCCTCAACACCGTCTGTTCCCCTGCCTGGAATGCGTCCCTCTGCACACACTTCTCTTCACCTGCGAGGTGCTTTACCACAATCTCTGGATGCCCTCCTTCCTGGCAAGAGGCAGATGCCATTCTCTCCCACAGGGCCAGTGCGCCCGGCAGACTCACCCTTGTCTACAGCTCCTTGTGGGTGGCCGTGTGTCTCATGCAGTTTGCACTGTCTACGCCCTTCACAAGGCTCAGGCGCAATCAGCAGAGGAAGAAAACCACACAGGATCCGACAGTCCCAACGATCAGCACCAGACAAGGCCCAAGACAGCACAAAAAGCCAGCTAGCAGAAACATGATTGTCCACCGTCCACCTCTGGGACAACCTGGGTCCTTCTTGCCTCTCTGTCCTCCGCAGTTGACAGAGCCTTTGAGGGAGAGGGAGGGCCCCTACTTTCTTCCTCCCGGCGTGGGATTCCGATGGAGTGTCTGGGGTGTGTGTATGTGGGCGGGGGTGGGACTGGGGGGTGCTGTTAAATGCTTGAGTGAGATAGGGAAAGAGTAATGGCCTTGCTTAAGCCCAAAGGGTTTCTCCTGACCAGCGAGTCACCCTTATGGCAGATGGCCGGGCAGATTTCTAAGGTGGAGAGAGAGAAATCTCTTCTTCAGCTGCTGCAGGGAGGCATCGAAGTGCCAGAAAGGTGGCTTCCGTGGGTCCCTGAGGCCCGTGGCAGGGGCCAGAGTCTGATGCCTGCTTTCCCTGGGTTGAGGGTGGGGTGCCTCTGTCAAGAGCCTGAGTTCAGGCCGGGGTGGCCCGTGGTCAAAGGCACACTTAGGACCTGGCTGGAGAGTTGGGGCGAGTTATTTGGGACCCCCTAGTCATCTGTCGAAGAGGGCTGGCCCTCCTGGAGAAAATGCAATCAGGGCACCCGCGGCAAGTTCCCAGGTTGTGCCTGGGGCTCGAGGCGGTGGCTGCCCCTGTGCTCCTGGTCTATTCCCGTGATTCTCAGTACGCTGATGGAAAACGCCCGCCTGAGACCCTCTGTCGTGCCGTGGGGAAATCCCCGGAAAGGGTGTGAAAGTACCGACTTTGGGGGATGTCTCCTCCGCGTCCGGCGCCTGGCAGGGCCAGCTCCTGGCCCAGATGCCCAGGGGCACCTATCCTTACAACCGGCCTCCTCCCGCGCGGGCCCCACTCCCATTTCCGCCTCGCCCCTACACCCAGTCTCTCATCTGTGAGTCCTGCGGGCAGAACGGTTTGGAGGTCTGCAAACATGATCCTCTCTGGAAACCTGCGACAGCGGCCGTGCTCGGGGTTTGGGGGCGCAGGTCAGGCTAAAACCACCCCGTTTCTCTCTGCTTCCCAGCGGCCCCTTCTCTGTGCCCAGAATGCTAGGGTGGCGGCTGCAGTGGGGACCTCCGCCTCCTCTTCCGACCAGACCGGAGGAACCTTTCGCCTCCCTCGGGGCGGCGCACTGAGCGCTCTCGGCCCAGAACGCCTTCCCTCCCGCTGCCTGGGGCAGTCCCGCCTGGGGCACTCGCACCCCAACCCTGGGAGAGCTACTCCCGCCTCACGCACCACTGAAAACCTCTCCTCCTTGTAGGTCCGCACCCCCTTTATACGCGGACGCGCTCTCTTTTGGTCGCCCAGTCTCCATCCCAGCGCTAAGGCGCGCTCTGCTCAGGTCTCCGCCACCGCCCAGCGCCTCCTGAACCCATCCCTCAAACCCTAGAACGTCCTCAGGGCCCCCAGGTGGGCGCGGCGCGCTGCGGGAGGGGACCCTCTCTGCACCTGCCCGCACCTCTGGGGATCGCTGCGTCCCTAGGGCTCTCCGCCTCCCCTTTTTCCTTTCTAAGCGCCTCGCGCCCAGGCCGCCGCCCGGGGTGGCGCAGCCCGTAGCCCTCCCGCCCCGGGCGCCCTCCGCCGCTCCGAGACCCCCGCCGGGGCGCGTCCTCTCCCCTTTTCCCGTCCCCTCCCCCGGCTCGGGGCGAGCGCCAGGTCCCTGAGGACGCTCCCGCCCAGCCCAGCACTCCTTTGTGCGGCGGGGCGGGTGCTGCGTCAAGGCGGAGGCGCGGCCACACGCGCGCACCCACCCGCGCGCACTCAGCCCCCGGGAGCGGCGGGAAGGGAGGCGGCGGCGCGAGGAGGAGGGAGCGGCCGCGGAGCCCAATCGCTCGCTCCCCTGCCCGGGCCCGCGCGCGGCGCCGCCTCCGCCATTGCTGCGAGCAGGAGCAGGCGACGCGGAGCTCGGAGCGCGGAGCTGACCTGCCGGAGCCGGGCGTGGGTGAGTGCGGCCGGCCGCACCCGGGCTTGCAGAGGACAGACCTTGCGGGCCGGGGAGCGGGGCCCGGGGAATGCTCATCTCCCCGAGTGCCCGGGACGGGGCTGTGGACGGCGGGTCGCCCGGGCGCTGTGGCCCCAGGACCCGGGACCGGGTCTGGAGGGGCTGGGCTGGGGCGGCGCCCCCTCCCCTGGCCACGGTGCGCCCTTGAACCCGGTGCTTGGGTTCTGCGAGATGAGGGTCTAGAAATACACAGCTACCCCCGTCCGTCTCATCTGGCCGTGACCGCCGCGTCCCCATAACCCCTCCCGGAGAGGAAGCGGGGCTGGCGAGCTCGCGGATCCGGGACGACAGTGGGTGTGGGTGCCCGCCTCCCCCCGCCCCCTGGTCTTGCTCGCGGTGACTCCTCACGGCCCCCCCCCACCCTTCGCAGGCTGCAGCCTCGGAGCTCCCGGAAAGATGGTGAAGTTGGGGAACAATTTCGCGGAGAAGGGCACCAAGCAGCCGCTGCTGGAGGATGGCTTCGACACCATTCCCCTGATGACGCCCCTCGATGTCAATCAGCTGCAGTTCCCGCCTCCGGATAAGGTAAGCCTCCCCCCGCCCCCCCCCCACGTTGCCCTGTGCGCACCCCCAAATCTCTCACGGCGGCCGCAACAAAAGAAACGCGCCGCGTGCGCTGGGTACACGAAGTGGGGGCGGGCTCGGAGGCAGGAGGGAGCGCGGCGAGGACAATGTACCCGCGCGGGATTTTGTATCGGGGGATGCTGGGGGCCTGGCTTAGAATGATAGCCTCGTCCTGACAGTGCAACCCGGTGCGGCCAGATGCCTTCGCGTTTTTCCTGAGAACCTCATCCGAGAGGATCTTGGCCCCGCAGCTGCCCGCTCCTCCCTTGCTCCGTGGTCCCAGGCGATCTGGAAGGGGGCGGTGGGGGCGTTGTTGGGAACCTAGGGGCGGGCGAGGCTGCTCCGGTGCCTTCCCGGCTGGGGCAGTTTCAGCCTGACTTGCCCTACCGAGTTGAGGGAGCGCTGTCCTTGGTCAGATAGCCCCTCCCCAGTGCTGAATTGTTCTGGCCCTTTCTGCCTGCCCCTGCCAGCCTGGCGCTAGGTGCAAGAGGGTGTGCGCGCTCACACAGGGCCTCCTTCCTCTTTGTTCCTTTTGTGAAATCCCCAAATAAGTGCCTGGGCTGGCTCAGTACTGGTGTCACTAGGAACAACCATTCATCTACCTTTCTCCAAAGTGTTTTCTGCTGAATTTAAAGAATCCCCTCTTTTTGAATATAACATTCCAATTAAGCAGTTTCTACTTGCTAAGAATAATATTTCCAATGTAATAGATCTTTGCATGTCTAGGCGATCGTGCTGTGAACTCACATCTGAGGCCATAAACACAGCATCTTGCTGCTGCTTACGAAACACCCCAGCTACTAATAATTCCCGGAAGTGATTTTCTATTTATTTTCTCACTTAGTCGCTGGTGAAGGGGCTCAGAATCAGAGCTCTGCCTTCCTTCCAGCAAGTTGGTGATTGCTGACAGGGTGGGTGTTGTGGGGTGGCCGTGTCCCGGTGGGGGCCCCAACCCGGTGAAGGTGTCCTCCTAGCTCTATTGTGTATGTTATGGGGAGAGGGATGCTGGAGCAGGGAAGGGGCTGGCAGCAGGGGTTTCAGTTCAGGAAAGGGGGTCAGCTGGCCACACCTGTGCCCCCCAGGCCTGAGGCCTCAGCTTCCACTCCACCTCTCCCCGTCTAGGCAACAGACTTGTCCAATTAGCAGGGCCTGGCCCCCAGGCTCCCACGCCCCCTTCTGCCTCGTCCCCAGCTGCTCTGCTGAGGAGCGATAGCACTGGTGCCAGGAACTCTGTGTGCTGAGGCAACACCTCTATCAGGTGATTCCCCTCGCTGGGCCTCAGCCTCCTCTCTCGTGCTCAGTCTATTCCTTTCCAGAACCGTTTGGTTGGTTTATACAGGGAGGAGGCGTTCAGGCAGGTATGAAGTCCTCACCAGCTAATCAGCTTGACCAGGAGTAGCCTAGGCAGCTCAGAATGGTGATGAGTCTCCTCTCTGCAAGTGTCCAGAGGGGGGCAGTCAGCAGGGGTGCTCCTCCCGGGACCATTCTCTTCTTGGGAGCATCCCTGTTGGTTGCTCCCTTCCAGCCAGGACCGAGTGTAGGTACAATGGTTACGGCTCTTGGGATCATTTTCCAGGAGGTTTCTAAGGTCACAAGGAGGAAACTGAGTCTCAGAGCATTTATGGGACATGCCCAAGGTCACTGGGCTGAAGGTTACAGTCCTCCAGGATGCAGAAGTTTCTGGCAGTGCCTCTTACTCCATCCTGCTTGGAGCCAGACGTCTCTCATGCAAGACCTCTCTTAACCTAAACAATAGCAACGTGTTGCTAACATGAGTTCAGGGAGGTGATGTCACCTGCTCCAGGTGACATGGCTTCTGAGGGGTGGTGACACAGCTGGGTTATAAATGGGAATCTGTGCTGAGAACGTTTATTGAGTGCTGAGGTGCTGGAGGTGCAGCGGTGACAGCAGTCACAGTGCTGGCAGCAGAGTCAGGGCTGGCCTCCCCTGACATTTGCTGGACATTTATTCTGCACCAGGAACTATTCTGCCAGTTTTGCAGGTTTAAATTCCTTTAATGAGTTGACACTGCCATGAGGGCACTACCAACGTTACCCCCGTTTTGCAGATGTGGAAATGCAGGCATGGAGGGTTTGAGAACTTCCCGAGGTCACCTAGCCTGTTAGTGGCAGGTATGGATAAAGTCCAGGTTGCCAGAATATTGATGGGGTCCCCATGTGGAGTGGAAGTGTCCGTGGCTTTCCTCATCCTCAACAGTAGTCTGTTCCCATTCATGGGCCAGTCTAGGCCTGTGTGCTCAAGGTGACATGGCTAGTTGGGTCCAGTTGGGGTTTGAGGATGGCAGGGTGACACCCAACCACTGCCTCAAGAAATGGGTGCCTCACAGGGGTGAGTGCCCAGGCCAACCCATGCCATGCCCGGCACTCCCTCCCTTTCCACCGCAGGAGCACTGGGGGGAAAGGAGTTGGCGGGTGGGGGCCAAGTATTACAAGGTTTATGGCTCTTGGGATCATTTTTCAGTGACACCTGGAATGGTCTCTGCTGTTCTTCCTCTGCTCTGGGGGTCACAGTGCCGGCTGAGAAGTCCTCTGGGGGCTCGTCCCTTGGGGGAGGAAGAGCATGGGGGTGGCTGGCTGTCTCCAGTCCAACAGCCTCTCCTGGAACGTGGCTTAGGGAGTGGGGTTTGGGGATTACAGACCTGTAACCCCTTGATGCTGCTCTTGAACACCTCTCAGTCCAGTGGGACAGAGAAGTAAACAGTCCCTGGCCGAGGGTGTGGGGAGTGATGGAGGGAGCACCGGTTAGGCCAGGGCTGTGAGTGTCCCAGGGCGGGAGGCTTCCTGGGTCCACCTGAAGTTGCTGGGGTGTAGGGCAGATACAAGGGCTGATTTCCAGGTTGGAAAAACATCCTTCTGCCTTGCAGTAAGGGGTAGAGGGGAATGAGCAGGGAGACCCTTTGGGGGCTGTGGCAGGGGCAGAGGGAGAGGAGGATGTAGGGGTGGAGACAGACCCTGGATCTGTTTCCCGACAGGCTGGCAGCCAGCTTCTCCGGCCAGTCCTGGAGAGATGTGGACAGTGCCCTCAGACCTCCTCTTCTGTGCCATGGTGGTACAGCAAGCCTAGTGAAAAAGCAGATGCAGCCTCCCAACTCCCTGGGCCAAGCCAGGCTTTGGCTCTGGTGGGTGGAAGGAGCACTGGGCCAGGAGTCAGATGCCAGGCTGCATCCCTGCCCTGCTGCCTATGACCTTGGCCAATGAGCTTAACTTCTGTGCCCCTCGGTTATAATATTGCCCTCCTGGGATGGCTATCAGGATGATTAATGGGTCAGTTCTCTGAAAGTCCTGGCACAAAGGAGATTTCCAAAAAATAGTGGCTGTTCTCATTCTTCTTGTGAATTTCTTCCTGGCAAAATGGCAACTTTGGACGTGGGAGTTCCCAGACCCACCCTCTTTGGGCAGATATGTCTGAATGCATCTGACTTTTGTTTCTCTGTCTCCTGGATAAGGTGGTCGTGAAAACTAAGACTGAGTATGAACCTGACCGCAAGAAAGGGAAAGCACGTCCTCCCCAAATTGCTGAGTTCACCGTCAGCATCACGGAGGGTGTCACCGAGAGGTTTAAGGTAAGTGGCCCTGTGGCGGGTGACATGCTGCTTTTGCCCCCAGAAGGGGTCTGCTGAGCCGCAGAGATGACCTACAGAGAGGGCCAGGCTCTGACGCCGTCTGTCTGCGCTAATCCCAGCTGTGCACACCCAGTAGCTTCTGGCTGCCTGCCAAGATGTCCTTGTGGTTTCTGACAATTTCTTTTTTCTTTTCCCCTTCCAAATGATCACATATTACTTATTTTCATAATAGGGAAAACCCACCCACGAACTTTCTTTTAGACAAAGGTTATACACATATGAAAAATCACTTGCCAAACATTAAAACATTTACTTAACAGTTCCAGGAAGCAGACAGTCACAAAAAGATTAACTCACAGCACCGATGACATGCTGAACAGGGCTCCCAGCCCTTTACCTAGTGAGCTCCTGGCCAGGAGGTGCCAGGAGGATTGCTGGCACCCAGGAGGGTATACCGCACCCAGGTATAAGCCATTTTACAGACAGAGAGGTTGAGGCACAGAATGATCACAGCTCTACCCAGCAGAGTCAGGATCCGATCTGCAGGGGGCCTGGCTCCGGGCTGTGTGTATCCTCTGTCCTTCCCCACTCCTGATGGGATGAAGGGGTGCTGCTGAGAACAGGAGGGGGTGGGAGGAGCCTTCTTGCCAGCCTGGCTCTCTTCAGAGGTGGCATTGGTTGAAGAACAAGTTGGGATGTTGATCAGGAAACTCATTCTTTGGGAAACATGAGGACGAGGGTAAAACAGTAGCCTCATCCAGATTCCAGGGGGTGAACTGAGAGACATCAGTGGGTCCCAGGCCTTGAAGAGTGGCCCTGTCTGGCTCTCTGGTCACCCTCCACTTGGCAGTGTGAGTGGTTTGCTTATGCGGGGCACACAGGGACTCCCACCCCCATCCCCCGCAGTTTCTGGAGTACCTGTGTGTATGGCATCATGTTTGATCTCTATGACAACCTCGTGGATCAGAGAAGGCAGGACTGTGGGCCATCCTTGGTTAATAGATAAAGCTGAAGCCACGGAGTGACTGGGGAGGCCAGGGTGCAATCTGACTTCCAGTCCCTCCTCCTTCCCATCACCACAGCGGGTCCCAGGAATGTTGCCGTGGGCGATTACTGGTGTCAGCTCCTCGAATCCTCCCAGCAGCCCTCTGCCTACACCCTACTCATAGTAGGTACGATTCGTATTACCAGTGTTACAGATGGGGAAGTCGAGGCACATGGCAGTCTGTGTCTGCCCCCGCTGGTATGTAAGGATGTCATGTATGCTGAGAGGCTCTTCTGGTGGCTCCTGGCTTGGCAGTTCATACGCATTTGAGGTTCATGGCCAGGACCAAGACATACTGACCTGAGGTCAACCCCTGTCCTCTGCGCTGGCCAGTGGGATTAGCATGTCCTTTTCTGCTGCCACTCACCTGTCCTGCCCCGTCCGCTCCCTGGGATTGGCTGCTGCCCCCAATGGAGGTAGGAGTGGCCTCAATTTCAAGGTCATGGTGTCCTCTGTCCTGATGGCTAAATGCTGTCTGATGTCTGAGTGTGTCTGGGTTTCTCAGGCCCGGCTTGCCCTTTGCTTTCCCAGGCCTGGCGTTTTAGGTTCCCACAGAGCAGGTGCAGTGCGGCGCTTGAACAGCTATTCCTTCATCTGTTGAGTGTCTGTGGTGTGCCAGGCTCTGTCCCCAACCTCTGGTGTCCTTCATTCGTACTTTTCCCACATGACCACCTGAGGCAGGTCCCCAGGTCTCTTGCCTAAGAAATGGGTGACACATATTTGCCACCAGGGCCCTCAGCAGCGGTGGCTGGGACTCTGGTTACCGGGCCCCTGTTGCCCAGAACCCGAAGGCTCAGAAGACCGCAGGCAGTTGTGCTCGTCCCGGTTGACCGGCTGCGGCCGGCAGAGGTCCTGCCTCTTCTCTCTGCCTGCACCTCCTGTGGCTGTCTGAGAGGTGATATATGCACTAGGTGCCCAGGAGATGACGGTGCTAGACCAAGTCTACTGGGTGTGTTCCTCTGCTTAGTTTTCTTGGCCTTCTTTATGATTCATGACTGCCGTGAAAGCAGTGGCACTGGCCCCTTTACACATGAGGCTGTTGAGTCCCAGGTGGCCCCAGGGTGGCTGGGGTGCTCCCTAAGTGACTCTCAGCGCCAAAGCCAACGCCTTCCGACCACACCTGCCACATCCCTCCCTGCTCTCATGGGATGCCCGCTGCTTCCCAGACCCCCTCCTTCCATCTCCTCCCAGGCCAAGGGCAGATCACATCTCTGCCAGGAAGCCTCCTGGGTCCCTCTCAGGTGCGACAAAGCTTGAACTCCTGTTCCGGTAGCGAGGCAGCAATAGCATCTCACAGTGACCGAGTGCTCCGTGAGCCAGACCCTGCTTCATGCTCCTGTGCTCATATTATCTCATTTAATCTTCACAAACACCTCAGGATGTAGGCACCATCATAGCTCCATTTTATATCGAGGGAAACTGAGGCTGTGGCACGAGAGGTCCTTGGTTTCTTGGAGAAGTGGGTTTGCGAGGGAGCACCCCAGGTGCCATCGCTGTTGGGCCATTCCGCTTCTACAAATCCTTTTCCTTTGTTGATTCAAAGCCCCTGGTCTGTTGCCTTGGGTCACCCCGAACATGTGGCGCCCTCCTTCCCCATCCCCGAGGCGGTCAGACATGACAGGCTCAGAGACACCCCGGAAGCCTCCCCACGGACAGGTTCTTTTTCTCTTTTCTTTCTAAGTCCTTGCTTCCAGGCCGCCTTCCCTGAGGTGCCCTCTTTCGAGGATCTGGGTTGGGCTGTCTTCCCTTTGGGTGCGAGGCCTGTGACTGCATGTCCTGGCAAGGTCCATTGGTGTGGCCCTTCCAAGCCTAGACCCCTCGACTTGAACTGGTGACCCGAGGAGGGAAACCAGGCCATAGAGACCCCCTGGGCCAAGAATGTCAGCCAAAAATAGAGGCTAAGGGACTCCTTGTGCAGACAGAACTTACTCATCAGCCGCTCCGTGCCGGCCACGGTAAGAGCTCCTTGATATCATCGCCTCTCTGGCGCTTCCTGCATGCACAGTAACAGCTTGATAAGTAAATGGATGACTAATCATGCTGCTGGCCTCCTGTGAATGGGGGACTTGGCGACATTTCCTGGGTCTGCCCATGGGACCCTGCTTGTTGAGTAAGCTCTGTGGCAGCTCGTCGGATGGAGCCCTGTCTCACAGCCATGCTTGCGTGTAACAGGTGATGCCTGCTGGTTCTCACCAAGTCAGACAGGTGACCTGCTCAAGGCCACACAGTCAATGAGTGGCAGGGCAGACTAGGAGCTGGGCAGCTGGCTCTAGAAGCCTGTTGCTGGGGCATACTTCATGCCACTGGCTCGCCCAGGAAGCCCGTAGGCTGGGCTTTTTGCAGCTGAATACCTTGCATTCTAAGAGATCTCTTTGCTGTGGCTGCTCTGAGGCCCTTCTCAGCTGGGAAGATTTACTTTGCTCTTTGCCCGCTTGCCGTGGGTGTGTATGACAGGCAACCTCCAAAGTGCCATTTCCCCAGGTGTCTCTGGAGCCACCTGAGTCAGCATCACTTGAAGTTTGATTTTAACACAGGGACCCTGAACCCCGGGGACACGTGTTTTAACAAACGCCTTCCAGGTGATGCTAACGTAGCCTGAGTTTTGGTACCTTTCTGGATGGGGGTGAGTTCTAGCACATTAGCAGGGAAGGATGAGGAGAGCTGGTGCCTTTGGGGAATGCTAAGGGTGCCCGCCTTTCTGGAATGTTCTCCGGCTTTTTATTGCCAGTTAGAGTTCTGGCATCCTTGAACATGTGCACTCAGTGAGGCGTGCTGCTGTTGCCTGAAGCTGTAGCTGGTTGAGGGCTGGGGGTCTCTCTTTCTGAAACTGGGGAGCATGTGGGGCACAGGCTATGCTGGAGATGCAGGCATGATGGGGGGGGGGTCCAGGATGGAGATCTGCCCTTCCTGGCTTGCGTGCCCCCTGCCAGCGCCCAGTCGAAGCTGTCGTTGGGACGGAGCGTCTTCTTTGTCTACTGGTGACTGGGCAGCACAGAAGCTGCCCAGTCACCAGCTCCCAGGCCAGCGTGATCTTACTTCTTTGATCTCCATGAGTGAATCACAGGAATGGAATCTCACCTTTCAGATGTTGAAGTGACGGGTAAATCCTCTGTCCCCTCTGTCTCTAATTTGTGTAGCTCAGGAGCACCCATCATTAAGGCCTTTGGATGTCATCTTTGAAATGGAGGAGTGTCTTTTTGGATGCAGCTTTCTGACTGTCACTCAGGGATTCATCTGTTGGCTGTGAGGTTGCTAGGCTGGTTGCTAGGTAACTGCTGACTGGGAGAAGGTTCTCCACCACACGGGGACGGCAGGAGAACTCCCTCAGCAGCAGCCAGCGACTTGGGCTTCCAAAGAGGTTCTTGTCAACAAGGAAAGCAGTCGCTTAATTCATTGGAGGTGTATCTATGCTGTGAATAAACACTGGCTGAGATGTTTCCCAAATTAACCAAACCTAAACATTTCTGAAATTGCACTTCCGCACTGATGCGGGCAGAGCAGCAGGTCGGGGCCGCTAGGGACGCTGCCTGTAGTTCTCCTTCCAGTCTGGAGACTGTCATGAGAGGCCGTCATTCTGCAGGTGACAGGAAGGTCCCCTCAGAGCCGGCTCCAGCCCTTTGTGCTTCGTGGCTCCGGGGATGACCGGCTGCTGACGCTGGAGAGGTCTCCACACTGTTTGCCCGTGAGGTCGGTTCAGGTTTGGGTGGTGCAGCCCTGCCCCTCGCCGGGTACCATGACACCCTGGGGCCTTGAGGGCTTCCAAGGTTGGCTTTGCCCTGGAACGCCTTCACCGCCAGCGGAGCTTGGGAGCATTTTGGCAGGAGAGGCTGTGTGAGTCTGCGTGGTGCTTGTGGTTGGCAGTGCAGACTGGTGGGGGTGTCCCTCTGCGTCCTGTCGCAGAGGACTCTGGGTGGTTTGTGTCTTCTCCTCACATCCCTCATGACCTTGAGCTTCC